ACACGGGTCACGACGAGGCGTTCCCCATAGCGACCCCTAGAGGACGCAGTGTCTCGTTCCCTGCTCAGGGAACCATGGTTACATAAGTAACCTGAGACGTTTTAAATGGTGTAATTAATCCTTTTCCACTATAAAATGGAAATGGAACGTCAACGAAAAGTTTCCATAGATGTTAAAGAACATAATGCAAATAAAGGATCTTTCTTTTTTACAGTGTATTTGTTTGAACACTTTTTCATGCTCTGTACTTGTGTGTGTGTCTGTTTAGGCCGGTCTGTCTTATCGTCTCAATGTCGTCCAGCTGCAGTAGCCTATCAGTGATGTGCTGTGCCGCCCACCTGCCCCTGGCTGTGCCGCTAAGCCCTTTCTGGAGTCCTGATGGACAACCCTGTGATAAGAGCAGCAACATGATCTCTGTGTTTGCTTTTGATGTGACCCACAACAAAGAGGTGGACAGATTCTTGTGCTTTACAGGGCAAGAGAAATGAAACAGCCACAGCCTATTGTGCACAATGACATAGTTATGTTCATTGAGTTTTTCTCTTTATTGACCTTGGCTCAGATTATATGCTCATAGTTCTTTCCCATAAACCCCTTAACATGTTTGGTAATTAATTGCGGTATGGTATTTGTACTCTACGCATGCAGTTGTGTGAGCAATCTTAAATCTGTTACAAAACTTACATAGTTCCATGAACTCTATTTAACACCTTTACATTTTACAGTGCTTGTTCCAAGTATTTCCACCTAAATGTGGACAAATTGAATAAATGGTTGTCCTTCATATGAAGAGATTTTTCCTCCGCTAACAGCTGGGGAGGTATAGTCAGCATTTGTTCAGAGATTTCTCTGTTGGCAGCAGTGCCTCAGCTGAAAGCAGGATTCTGTCATGAGCGAGAATATTAGACAGATAGGGACCCCGGGGGTTTATAATTTCGCTAGCTCTTGCCTGGGGTTATTAAATATTAGCCTGAGGTGCTGAAGGGCGTTGCTGACAGGGGCTATCATCAGCTCTCCCTATCATCAGGATTTTGCACTTCTTCCAAACGCTTGCACTCCTGAGACTTAGTAGATGATGCCCTCTTCTGTCCTTACATAATGTAGTGATTAAATTAACTGAAATGAGTTTCAGATACTTTGAGAAAATCAGGATATATATATATATTTATATATTTATAATTAAGAATTCATGATCAGTATCAAACTGGTTATTGGTCAAAATGTAATTATTTATTATTATTATTATTATTATTCAGTATCTATATTGGATATTCAATTGTGCATGTTTATTTTCCCTATTTCAATTACTTTTGCCGTCATCTAACACTACTAAAGTTAATACACTTAATAATTAATACACTGTTAGTGTTAAATGTAATCCAAAACAAATCTCAAAATTATTTTTTAATACTGTATCCTACAGTATGTTGTACAATGCTGCGATGATTTAAAACAAATAATTTAATTTAATGTTTATTAATTTAGATAAAATATAAAACTTTTTTAATATATACATTGTTTCAATGTATGAAATATTTTTAATAATAATACAAATTTATATGAATACACCTATATATGTAAACCCATTTATAAGATCAGATATTTATGAACAATATGTGATGTGAAGTATGCAGCTGGACAGTGTCATCATCCAATTTTAAACCAACTTTGCTTTATTAGTTTTGTAGACTGCATTTTTATAACTGACCACAAGGTGGCGAGAGAGTGCAAGGAGTGTCTTCCAAGAATACTGTACATTAAGACAGTGGTAATAAACAGCCTTGATTTACTGATATATCTAATGATCTGGCTTCATTGAAGAATGTTCTAATAAAGTATTTGCTGTAAATCTGAGACGTAACTCACATATCCTTGCCTTGACTCCGCAAGTTCTTCCTCGACAACAGTTGTCTCTCAACTGTTGCCTTACAGTGATGCTGATTCATATCTGTAATTAGGTGATATTGACAAACTTGGCAAATGCCACATCTGACTGTAATATAATTTATTAAAAATAGATGCTTAACGACAGCCAATACAATTATGGTTGGTTATTATGAAAAGAGATCATTTCATTGTCCTTTAGTAGAAATGTAGCCTACTGCATTGACAGATTGAGAAGGAGAAAAAAGTAATCATTTTCTTTTCAAACACATTGCTTTTCACAGTAACTGTGCAAGGTTGCTGCAAGAGGTGAATATTCATAACCCTCCCACTGCATATTCATTAGACAGAGATGCTGCTCTGACTGCAGTACTGTCAGTTCTACCAATGTGACGCTGCATTGTGGGCAATTCCTCAGAGTCTCACAGGTTCCCTGTGTCCTAGTTTCTGGAGCATGTTTTGTTATTACATTATGTGCATTGTAACATACCATATTTTCAAAGAATAATACTCTCAATATGAGTAGTGAGTCATTGTATTGGATTGTTTTTGTTATTTAAAAAAAAAAACTTAAATACAATTACACACTCTGCAAATACCTTAAAGACTTGATTTTTTTTCTTATAATACTGTATAATTCAAAGGTACCTTGGTGTGTATTACAGTTTATCTGTCCTGCCAGCTGTTATGATCAGACAGGCCTTTTGTCATTCAGCAGAGTCACAGATGGGAGATCAACATGGGGTCAGTAGCAAGAAGACAAAGACCATACCATTTAACTTGCACAGGAACAAGTGTGTTAAAGTTGATCTAGCTGCCTAATAAACCTGGAATTATGTATTATTAAAACTGTTGGCTCTTTGACAAATTGCTTTTTTTCCTCCTCTTTTCTAAGTCGCTTAACCGTATGCATAACTAAATGTAAACAGGATTTGAGACATTTCATGTTTAGATTACATTCTGTTATATTGCATCATATCTTCTGTATCATCAGCAGAATGAATGTAAAATCTCTCATCGGTGTCTCCTGACAAATATTAATAAATAAAGTATGATTAAATTTGTCATAAATAGGCTATTTACAGAGCAAATGTTAATGTTGACTGCTTTAATCCAGATTTAAGCGTGACAGAGCAGCTTGATGAATTTGGGTTTCCTTTTATAATCTCATGGAAACTTAAAGGCGAACTCATGTAACCTCCGTTTCTGCCAAAACAGATTAATTAGCTTTTAGTAAGTTGTTCCAAACATCAAAAACATGTGCGAAGAGTTAGGAAAAAATGTCATTTATTTTATATGGTTTTTAAAAAAATTTCTTTAAATGTCTAGGAAACCCTCTGGGACAAATATTATTAATAACAAATAGCCTAACAATTTATCTCAATGTATTCGCATTACATTTATCTTGGTTAATCACTGGTTATTGTTTTCTTTTTCAACTATTTCAGTGCTAAGTAGGTTAAATGGACGAGCTGAGGAGAGAATTGTGCCTTGTCTGGGAATAGCAGAACTATACTTGGCTCATGCGGTCTAAAAATTCCACCTTCTGAAGTGATAATGTGAACGCAGGCGTTTGCTTCTATTGGTGCTTTAGTCTGTCATTCGTCTCCTGTAGCCCTGAGGTTGGCTAATTACGCAGACACGTTGGGATAATCCCGGTTAGCAGAAATTGATGTCAGATTGGTTTGGCTCACCACAAATCCCCGCTAGTTGAGGTAGACAATGCAGGAGGACTGGCTTGCAGTCACTACTACAGAAGGAGTGGAGGGAGTGTCTGACTGCTCTGGAATTTCCTTTCTGATGGGTTGTCAGTCCACCTGCTAACCTGCCTGTTTTACTAACAAAATGGAGCTGCCCTTGTGATCTGATACGTTCAATCTCCATTGCGACGCCTCCGCGCTCGCAGGGCCGTAACATAACATTTT